CATATGGTAACAAGGAAGCAGACTTGTCATCTAAAACCCCCAGATCGTTTAAACCTGCTCCATTCTGTTACTTCCCCTCCAGAACTGGACACACCAACTTCATTTGCTCAAGCCTGCAAATCACCATAATGGAAAAATGCGATGGCTCAAGAGTTTCTAGCTCTCCAACGTCAGGGCACGTGGAGTCTTGTAGAACCAAAACCTGATTACTCCATTGTTGGCTGCAAGTGGACGTATCGCACAAAAGTTCGTGCAGATGGCTCCATCGAGAAATACGAAGCAAGGCTGGTAGCACTCGGAATCCATCAAGAGTTTGGACTGGACTATAACGAGACGTTTAGTCCCGTAGCCAAACTACCAACCATACGCATTCTCCTGGCTGTAGCTCTTTACAACAACTGGACGGTAGATCAATTGGATGTCGCCAATGCGTTCCTTCACGGTACCTTAACCGAAGAAGTTTTCATGAGGCAGCCCCGCGGGTTTGAAGACTCCATGGCTCCTAATCATGTATGTAAACTATGTAAACTTCACAAGGCCATCTATGGTCTCAAACAAGCGCCTCGCCAATGGTATAACACATTTACTTCGTTCTTAACTTCAATTGGATTCTCCCATAGTAAATCGGATCCCTCCCTTCTTACTCTTAGAAATCAGCAAACAACTATATTTTTACTTGTTTATGTTGACGATATATTGATTACAGGGAACAACAAAATTGCAATCAATTCGGTCATTAATCAACTCAGCATCCGATTCTCTATGAAGCATCTCGGTCCAGTTCATGATTTCCTTGGCATCCAAATAATTAAAAACAAGGACACCTACTTCTTATCTCAGCGGCAGTATGCCACATCAATACTTCAGCAAATGAACCTTGTTGACTGCAAACCGCTAGCCAACCCCACCTGCACCAAATTCCCGCCCTCATATCCTTCGGATACATCACTGGATTCTCAGCTATACAGACGATCCACAGGATCGTTACAATATTTAACACTCACGCGACCGGACATTGCGTATAGCGTAAATCAACTATCTTAACACATGCATGACCCTCAACCACAACACTTCTTTATGCTCAAACGTCTACTACGTTACATCAAAGGTACGCTTGCTTTTGGAATTCCCATTACAAAAACTAATCTCCATCTTAAATCATTTTCAGATGCTGATTGGGCCGGAGATCCGGATACAAGAAGATCGACGTCTGGATATTGTTCATTTCTTGGAGACACCATCATCTCCTGGACAGTCAAGAAACAGCACACGGTTGCTCTGTCCTCCACAGAATCAGAATATCGAGCGCTTGTTGCACTTACAACGGACATTATTTGGCTCCGAAGACTCCTATCTGAATTCGGGATTGATCAAACGGAACCCACGGAAATATTATGTGATAACACATCAGCAATCGCTCTAGCAAACAATCCCGTTTTTCATGCAAGAACAAAACACATAGAAATTGATCAGAAATACATTAGGGAACATCTTCAGCAAAACAACATTCGGCTTATTCCTATCAGCACTGTTGATCAAACGGCGGACATCTTTACTAAAGCTCTATCAACACCAAGATTTATTACACTAAGGAACAAGCTTACTGTCTCTACCGACCCTTTAGCTTGCGGGGAAATATTAAGTGTATAAAGATAATAAACAGATAAATAATTATCTCTTGCTTAGGTGGCGTTAGCTTATTGGTTCTTTTACTTTCTACTGGCTATATAATAACTTGTAATCCTCAGATATAGAGATTCAGAATAATGATATACAACTTCTTCTTCTTCCTCTTATTTCTGCTCTCTTCTTTATCTGAGATCACTGTTCTTGTTTCCACACAATCACTCTGACACAGCATTCCACATTTTGGTCGATAATGGTGATAACTTGGTTTGTAATACCAAATGCTAAAATTTATAATCCTCTTTACAATCTCAACAATTATGTCTTGTGTTCTCTTGTTGATTCAAGGTGTCGATGTGGTTCTTGGCATTCAATGGTATCACTAGGTAATATTATCACGAATTATTCCTATCTTATGGTGTTTTTTTAATGCATTTAGGTGAATCAATCACCCTTTAGGAGGCCAGTTGGCGTAGTTCAAACAACTACACTACAATCAATTGCTTAAACTAACCAGCCAAGGATCCACAGCATTCTTTTATCACCTCTCTGGCAAACAATAAAATTGTTAGGTTCAACCCTTCCCCCCACAAAAAAGGAGCCCCTGCCTTCTCCCTTCTTTATTGTTATAATATCTTATTTTTTGAACATTTTGGACAGCCTCCTTGCTAGCCATATGCGCATAAAATCAACTTGAAACCCAATGCTCCTCTAGTCCACCTTCACCCATATCGATATAATCATTTAAAAAAAAATGCCATGGAGCTCATGGTTCAAGAGTTGCTACAAGCTGGTATCATATGACATAACACGAGCTCTTTCTCATCTCTAGTTATTCTAGTAAATAATAAAGACGGTACATGATGATTTTGCGTCGAATATGGTACCTTAACTAAGTCTAACATTCCACACAAATTTTCAATCCCAACTACTAACAAGATGCTCGATGACTTTCAAGGTGCTTATACTTCAGACTAGATTTATATGTTGTATATCATCAAGTCAGCATGGCCAATGAGGATATACACAAATAGCTTTTTGAACTCATGATGGCTATTATGAGTTCACCTTCATGCCCTTTAACCTGACTAACTGAACTTCTAGCTTTCAAAATATTATAAATTTGAACACTAAACTCAAATTATTACTTAGAAAATTATCATAATTTTTATTTTTTAATGATGAATTGCGTGCTTATAGATACTTCAGGTGCTGTTTTGGAATTATTTTAAGTGTGAGGGTTTGAGGAAATGCTGGAAGATGATGCTTTGGAGAAGGGAGAATATATTATGAGAGATTGTGAGATAGATCAAAGAGTAAAATAGGGATTTTTAATTCTTCTGCCAACAACATAAAGAGCAGGGGGTCAACCACTAAACTCTCAACCCAATAAATTTCATTCTCCATTTTTTTTTAAAAACATCAACACCTTTTTTTTTTCATTCTGACAATAATTAAGCTATTATATCAAGTTCTAAAACTCAAAATTCAAAAAACTAATGGGAAAAAAATTAGATCTAGGGAAGCAAAGAAGGTAGTGGAGTGAAACCACTAAAATTCCACATGGGGTGGTTAAACCAAATACTTTAATCAAGCCTAAACTTGCTTATAAATGAAAAATAATTTCAAGTGCTTAAACCAAATACTTTAATCAAGCCTAAACTTGCTTACAACAACAACAACAACATCAAGCCTTTATCCCACTACGTGGGGTCGGCTACATGAATCCTTTTTCTCCATTGTGTCCTATTAAAAGCCTAAACTTGCTTATAAATAAAAAATAATTTCAAGTGCTTAACGTGGAAATTGTAAATTAAACATTGAAAATTTATTTATTTTTAACAATTTTTTTAGTTCAATCATAACCCTTGTTCGTATGTTAAGCACTTGATTTTGATCTTGTAGTGGGAGCTTCAAATTAGTTAGATATTCTATATTGATCTACACTCAATTTCATGATGGACTTATTCATAGTAGTTTCGACTTCCTTATTGAAGCAAGAACTTCAACTATACCACTGGTGTTGTGGGTGGACTTGGCGGTCTACTCAAAAACTATGAATAGACTTCGATAGCATTTCCATTGGCCTCGCTTAGCTATTGATGCCTCTATTTATTTCGATTTGCTCAATTTGTCATGACACCAAATGTCTGCTACTCGTACCAATTGTTCTCTTTCAACCATTGCATATTTCGCTCTTTGCTTGGAAAGAGTTAATAATGGACTTTATCATGGACTATAGGAAGGCTAACTTTTTCGTTGTTGTTGATCACTTAATGCACTTAACGAAATGCACGCACCTCTCTCTCATTGTTTGTTTCAATGAAAGCACCATAGCAACAACCTTCATTGCCGAAATATGTTGCCTTCATGGAACGTAAAACCTATTATATCAGATCACAATAGTAGTTTCATGAGTCGCATATGGAAGGCCTTGTTCGAAGAGATGTGGACCGGAGTTCTTTTCAGTATGAATGGCTGTAAACTAGGTTTTATTAATCAATGATCCTTGACCTTCTTCCCCACCTTTTTCTTCTCTTCTTTGTAGTTTCTCTCATCTCCTCTAATTTGCCCACAGAAGCTGCTACAGCATTGTTGCTTCTCTCCCTTTTTTTTCTTTAGATTCGTTTGGTATTCAGCTAACAGAAATACAAAGTAATTATCCCTCTTTCATTAGCTTAAGCTTTTGGATTGAATATAAGTTCAATCAGTATTGCAAGTTTGATGTCCTTTGGATCACACTCCCCAACACTTTTTTCTCCAGAGTGTTGTCACAGAGCCATCCAACCAGGAGAGTTACGCTTTCTTTGTCACTAGAACTCATAATGGTATTCTGTCCTATAATTTTGTTTATTAAATGATTGTTCTGTTTCTGACTGAACCTTTGCATGCGTCTTTTAGTTTAAGGCTTGAAGTTTTGGAGTTTTCTACTTAACCAATTTAAGTTGAGATTTGGGATTGTCGAGTAGGTGGATTGTCATTAGGAAATTATTTTTGCTGACTATACTCCAAGAAGCTCACTTTTTTTATCCATTCAAAATATTGTAAATTTTTTGTTTCTGAATTATTAATTGAATTTAATTTTTTGGATCTTTCATAAGCATACAAAATCTTTTGTGGATGCTCCCTTCTATGTGGCATGTAAAATGTATCTAAAATATATTAAACTTTAAGCTGTGGCTTGACTTTGCTGAAAAACTTTTATCCTATGCTCTCTTATTTTTTTGTCTTTTACTGATCATTTGGGAAACTTAATGAAGCCGAAACTTTAAACTACAGATCTTTCATTTGAAGATTTCAAATATTTGGCTATTTGAAACTTTCCAATTTACCATTGAATTTTTGTCATGGTCGTGCATCTTATGCATTTACAGCAGGGACATTTCATTGGCGTTGATAAATGCTGAACAAGATGGATCTCTGTCTCTTCGTTTTTCTGCTTCTACCATTTGTCAGTTTTGGAAGTGGAGATGTTTATCTTATAACTATGGAAGGAGAACCCGTTGTCAGTTACATGGGCGGAATTGATGGATTTTCTGCAACAGCGGAGGATTCAATGGAAGAGATGGATATAACCAGGTCCCTCCTTCCCTCTCTCCCTCTTATGCACGCAGCTTGGAATATTACATTAAAAAGTTTAACAGGCATTTACAATGTGTAAGCTGATCTGAAAGGACTAGGAAGGAAAAGGGCTTAGGCCTAATTATGCATGGATATAAGTTGTTTGGGAAGGGTGAGCTATCCAAACGGAGGATACAGCTTAGAATGCGATTCATGCCATGACTAATTTCCACAGATGAAGGCCTAATACTCAAAACTGATTTCTGCTCTTGACAAACGTTTTATTTTGATCTCATATTTCCTTGAAATTCATGTTGGCTCCATTTGTCTTCTTTTTTTTTTAATGCTATCATATTTTTGACAGATCTAAAAAGACTTGATTAGAAAATAGTAGGAAAGACCTTTCTTTATAGATTTAAACGAAAAATGACTTTTAATAGGACACAATGGAGAAAAAGGATTCATGTAGCTGACCCCACATAGTGGGATAAAAGCTTGATTTTGTTCCTGTATTAAATTTTTTACAGTTTAATAATTCTTGGAATGTGAAGACCTTTAAGAATTTTGTTCTAGCACGTCACTTGTTCCTGCCATCACTTGAATTTAGAATACTTGTAATAGTTATTACATAGTTGTATAGTCTGAGTTGGTTCTTTCTGTGAATTTTGTTTTATACATTCATCCAACTCTTATTTTTCACTACACTCTACTAGTTGACCAAGTTCTTGTCATTTTGTTCTATGATCTGCAGTGAATCTGTCACATCATACTCTCTTTACCTGAAGAGAAAGCATGATGAACTTCTTGACTTACTTTTTGAAGCTAAGTCATATAAGAAAATCTACAGCTATTGCCATCTTTTAAATGGTTTCTCCGTTCATTTGACTCCTGAACAGGTAGCCCGTTATGTACAACCTTTTTTTTATCTTCTGTGCATGCACTTACGTTTGAACTTCCATTTGTTTGTGTTGTTTAACATTCATGCGTCGTGATTTGATTTTTAGGCTACGGCTCTGAGCAAAGCCCCTGGAGTGAAGTATGTGGAGAAAGATGGGAAGGTAAGGAAATTAACAACGCATACACCACAGTTCTTGGGACTTCCAACAGGAGTATGGCCAACAGGAGGAGGCTTTGACAAAGCAGGGGAAGATGTTGTTATTGGCCTCATAGACTCAGGAGTTTTTCCAAAGCACCCAAGCTTTGCTACCTACAATACTGATCCATATGGTCCTCTTCCTCGATATAGAGGGAAATGTGAAATTGATCCAGAGACTAAGAGAAGCTTTTGCAATGGAAAAATAATTGGAGCTCAACATTTCGCAAAAGCTGCCATAGCAGCTGGGGCGTTTAATCCAGCAGTAGATTTTCCATCTCCTCTAGATGGTGATGGGCATGGAACGTAAGCCTCTTAATGCTCATGTTTCAATCTACTGCATACCAAATAACAACTAATGTAATCTTAGTCAGCAATATGTCATTCAAAGACATAGATGTAGCTTGTAACATTTCTGAAGTAACATCTTGAATTCTTAATTTGTTGAACCATGTTTGCTATTAAGTTAGCATTAATGGATTATCTATATGAATTTTTCCTTGTGGATAAACTTGCTAATAGTATACATTTGCAAGAGGATGTACTTTGGTGTATACTTTTTGCTGATAATATTCTTCTTGTTGATAAGTCTAGAGAGGGAGTTGGAGGTCAACTTTAGAGTTTAAAGGTTTTCGCTTGAGTAGATCTAAAATTGAATATATGGAGTCTAATTTTAGTAGCAATAGACCTAGTGATGAGATTGTGACTTTGGACGATCAAGTCATTAATAAGAGTACACGTTTTAAATATCTTGGATATATTGTTCAAAGTGATGGTGAAATTGATGGGGATATTATCAGCAGAATTCAAGTTGGATGGTTGAAGTGGAGGAATGCATCGGGCTTATTGTGCGATAGAAAAGTTCCCCTCAAACTTAAGGGAAAATTCTATAAGATGGTGGTGAGATCTGCAATGCTTTATAGTGCCGAATGTTGGCCATTAAAAGAGAAGCATAATACTAAGTTAAGTGTTTCAGAGATGAGGATGCTTAGGTGGATGAGTGGCTTGACCCTTAGAGATAGGATATGAAATGAGCATATACGTGAAAAGGTTGGAGTAGCTCCAGTGGAAGATAAGATTAGAGATAGTCGTCTTAGATGGTTTGGTCACATTAAACGGAGGCCTTCCGATGACCCGGTTAGAAAAGTTGAGGTGTTAGATTTGACTTATGTTAAGAAAGGTAGAGGTAGACCTAAAAAGACTTGGTTAGAAAATATTAGAAATGATATTTCTTTATTAGATTTAAATGAGAATTTGACTTTTAACCGGGGACACAACGATGAAAAAGGATTCATGTAGCCGACCCCACGTAGTGGGACAAAGGCTTGATGTTGTTGTTGTTGGATAAACTTGCTAATAGTGAATAATGCACCAGAGCGCAAAGGTCCTATGGAGCCATAGCATAGAGCATTACCTGATGTACACGTTTTTGAAATACAGTAAAATTGAAAAAATCATGATAATTGAAATAATATGAGAGAATTATCCTAATAAAAAAGATACTATTAATGTCATATAAATTGAACATGATATTGCTTTAACATACATGAAACTTAATGAATGACATAATATTTTAATATTGAATCTTGTAAGTAGTTTAACTTGATTTGACATTTTGTTTATTTCTTCTCGTCAAGCTTATAAGATTATATATATATATGCAAATTGAACAATATAAACAATAATAATCAAACTCAAAGCTACAATATAGCAACACAATATTGGCAGCAATCAACCAACAAAAAATTGAATGAAAATAGTAAGAAAAGAGGACAAGTAATTACTTGATGGATAGAGGAGAGAGTGGATAAGCGTAGCTGATAAAATAACACACTTTTGTGTTATATGCACTATTGCGCTCACCTAGCACATAAAAGTGCATTATCTTGCTTTCTTGCTCCTTGTTATGTGATTAGCGCTGAAATTGAGTCACGCTGGCAGCATATATGCATGTGGAATTGGTCTTTATGTTTAGTAGAATGATTTTTTTACTAGTTGTTTACTGCTAAAGATGCTAGTTAGCAAAATGAACTGCATGATAATTTCTACTTGAAATTACCTACTTTTGTGTAGAAGTTGTCGCTGGCTCATTGATAGACTTTTTTATGCATTTTGAAGTTGTGCATGTGATTTGTCTGTAAAGATTATTGAATCAATCATGTTCAAAATGTGTTAAGGTGTCCGGGTTTATGACTATTGCTTCTGTTTGCTAGTTTACAGCCCATTTCAGGATGGCCATGTAATCCATAGAAGTTAGTTGCTATTGCTATTGAAGCAAGCATTTCTTGTAGATAGTGTTACATAGAAGAGTTTATCATATCATGTTCATTGTTGAACAAACTTAACCTATTTTTGATACAGTTTATAGCATCTATTTGTCAGTAGTAAAGTTCACCTTTAGTATCCATTGCAATTTCTGTTGAAATGCAACTATTTTAGATTTGTTTCCTTGCAGTTTGTTTTAGATTTAATAATCCTTGTTAATTGACATGAAAATATTATAATTAATGTTCCTCATTTTAATTTTGTTCAATCCTATGTTTTGTCAGTCATACAGCAGCTATAGCGGCAGGAAATAATGGAATTCCAGTGAGAATGCATGGGCATGAGTTTGGCAAGGCCAGCGGCATGGCTCCACGGGCCAGGTTATGCGCCATATTTATTATATGAAGATAACTTTAAATTTTGGATCTTATAAGCAGTGTGGTAGCTTTATTTATTTATTTTTTTTCAGGATTGCTATATACAAAGTTCTCTATAGGCTTTTTGGTGGTTATGTATCTGATGTGGTAGCTGCTATTGATCAGGTACTATCTAGTGTGTGCATACCTATGATTGCTGAGGATTACTAGAATTTCTTATGGCATACTGTTATAGATGTCATCCGGTGTCTCCTCCTTCAATGAATGTCTGCAAAATTATCATCTAATGATTGTACATCTATGTTTGAAAGCTATTTAAAAAAAAAAAAACTTGAAAGCTATTTTAATTTGAAAAATGCTGGGTTTTAATAACTTTTTATAATTCAATCCATCTTGATGTCATTAATGATACCAAGCAAATGAGGTAATGCACATTCTGCTATAACAATTACTCTATTTGAGATGATTCTGTCATTTTTTTTTCTTGATTTATTTTCTTGTTAAATTGCTTCCAACCGTTATTTCCTGCTGAGCTGGCCAGCGTGCAAAAAATATCTGATATTGCTATGAAATATCTTTGGAGAGGCTTTTATGTGGAATGCAATGTGAACAGGCTGTGCAGGATGGAGTGGACGTCATTAATCTTTCAGTTGGGCCAAACAGCCCTCCATCAACTACAAAAACCACATTCTTGAATCCTTTTGATGCAGCCCTTCTTTCTGCTGTGAAAGCTGGGGTCTTTGTTGCACAGGCAGCTGGAAATGGAGGCCCATTCCCAAAAACCTTAGTATCTTTTAGTCCTTGGATAACAACTGTAGCTGCTGCTGTTGATGATCGCAGATATAAGAACCATATTACACTTGGAAATGGAAGAACACTGCCTGGACTTGGGCTGTCTCGTAAGTTTATATTTTTATTTTAATTTCCTTGAGAAAGTTGTAAATCCCCTCTATAAAGTTTTCTTGATGTTATTTTATGAGTTTATCCAGTTAGTTTTGCACCGGGCAAACATGATAGAGCAACCTTCCTGAGTATGAAATAATGTTTTTGTATAGCTTTGGATGAAAAAAAAAACTTCTCTTTGGTCATGCATTTCTACATTGACCTTTTGAAACTGGACCAAGGTACCTTGGAAGCACCAGCTACTCTTAGAGAAATGATAAATTGAATATTTTCTTAAGGTTCTTCCTATTAGAATATGATTGTTTAACAATGTGGTAAACCAATGGCGGGGATTTTATTTGAGAGCGGTTTCCGTACAATTTAAGTTGAGGAAGTCATGATATCTGGATTAGATGATATATGATTAGTGTACGTGAAACATGCAAATTTATGAAATAATTTGCTCAGCAATATGTTCTTTGGGTAAATTTCTTGTGGGATAGATAAGCATCATTTGTTGGGAGAGTTGAAGTGGCGCGTTTATGCTTGAATTCAAGTCTTGCAGACATTCTATTAAACAGGCTTGAGCTTTCCATGTGGGCATTTTGTTTTTGGGAAGTCTCAAACACCCAATTCATCTTTATGATTTTGACAAGGCTTTGCATACTTGAATCAATATAGAATCTTTCTAAGAGGCTATTTGGTTAGTTCACATCTTTTATATAGTATCATGTTATTAGCAAACACCAGTTGTTTAATTTGATTACATATTTAAATAGCAATTTAATACCTGACATTCATGGTTCATGTTTTATTTTGTTATTCTAGATATTGGTCAAATTTGCCAACAACTAAAAGCTAGGCTTTCGAATGACTTAAATAAATGATGCCGCAAAAATGAAAGATCAAAGTAATAATTGATATTTCCATATAAAATTTCTTTGTTAGAATGATAAGATTGAACTAAATGTACTGCATTTGATAGTTATGATTTCTATATGATAATAAACTATTATCTAGATAACATTATTATCTAAATTATATTGAACCAAACAGCCCGTTAATACCTGCTTGGTTTTTGTGTGAACTCCAATGAATTAAAAAAGCATGTAATAGCTTAGGTGATGCAATTGGTGGATATTTTGATTTAATGATAAGGGATGTGCTGGTTGGCTTTGATCGCTGTGTTGGAGTTGCAGTTGATCCATGTGGCATCTAAGCTTTCTTGGATAACTTGTAGTTCCGCTTGAGATGTAAAACCTGAAATCGATGATTGTAAGTGCTGCACGCATCTTGATGCGTCGCGACAAAATTTAGGTGAAATTTCATAGTCTTTGGATTTCGACGAAATTAATTTTATAAAATTCTATGCAAAATTTCAAGCAAATTGATATAAAGAATATATGGCAATTTTCGCTTAATGCCTAAACTACCCTTAGTAAATATTAAAGTGGAGATATTTGAGAACAATTAAGACTTTATGCAATTAATATTAACCATCATCTCTCTTAAGGGGACACAATTTCATTAGATCCCCATTATTTCTTTCGGCCGAACCGTGTGAAGGAGAGAAGCGGATGGGAGAGGCGAACGCAAGGGCGACGGGCGGCATTTCTGACGGCTTTTCCGGCAAAGGGACTTGGGGAAAAATGTAGAGGAGACTAAGGGGAGACCTATGTTGCACCGATACGGATATGGCGACACAGATACGACACGATACAGATACGGGAAACGCCAATTCTTAAAAAAACAGGATACGGGTACGGCGCGGACACGACATTATAATTTATAAATCATACATAACAATTAAGAAAGCAATAAAAGCATAATATTTGAAATTACAAAAAAAAAAAAGAAGAAGAAGACAACATCATTTGAAGCCTGTAGCTTATAATATCAAAATATAAGTAAGCATTAAATGTCTAGTACAACAACAAAAGCATAAACATAAATTGTCTAGCACATGAAGTTTTAACTAAATAGAAGGAATTATATCATTAGCTTCTTCGGTGGTTTGTCTTTGAACTACTATATCATCTTCAATAAATATCATAGCTTCTAATTCTGGCTCATCAAGTGAAAGATCAGCAACTTCTAATATTATTATATCATCAAGAGACTCAAATCCATCTCGGAAATGAGAGAACCTTGCTTGCAGCAGCGGAAGTAAATACCAATGTTTAAAATTGTGTATTCGGGTACTGAGGCGTTTTTCATTCGTGAGGCGAGGCGTAAGCCTCAAGGTGTTTTGAGGTATAAGTCAAAAGATTGTGTAAACATAAAATGATAAATTTTTTATATACTAATGAGTGAATAATATAAAACATAAAAAAATATAAGATATAAAGTGAAATCAAAATATCCCAATAATAAGACAACATGAAATATAGTTCAACTCAAAATCCTATCTTTCCCAAATCCCAGTATTCTTTTCATTAACATATAATTCAAATTTTCAAAAATAAATAGCAATGACATATCACATAAGAACTCATAAAGTCATCAGCACTGTCATCACTAAGGGTATCTTTATTTGATCATCATTATGATGAACTGCTCTCTCCCATTTCTCCTCTCCTATAGAGTTCAATGTCGGACATTTACTTCAAAATTTATATAAATTTTAATATATATAGCATGAGGCGTAAGCTTCATGCCAATGAGGCGAGGCGGGCCTCAACCAAGTTGAGGCGCAAGCCTCATAAAAAAACTAGAGGCGTAAGCATCGAGGCATTTTTTACTGGAATTGCGCAAGGGCGGGCCTCAAGGCGAGCCTCATATTGCGCAATTTTAAACCATGGTAAATAGAACGCATTTTTTTCGGATTTCTTTTTGTTTTTCAATGGACACGCGTATCCGATACGCGTGCCCTTTTGAAATTAAATAGTATTTTAATTGGATACGGCTTTGGCGTATCCGACATGTATTAGTGGCATATCGGAGGCGTATCCGTGTATCGGTGTATCGGATATAGCACGCCTTCATAAATTGGTGTATCGGTGTAACATACGGGTAGACTAAGGTATGCATAGAATTTACATTTCTCCTTTGTTCTCAAAGATTTTTGGAAGAGAAATTTTTTTAGAGTAATGTTTATGAATTTTCACATATTAATGTTTATGAATTTTTCTATTTGCTTCATTTTCATATGTTATGTTTATATTCATGTCATTATGTTTATTTTTAAAAGAATGTTAAACTTGTAAAACAAAATCTAAGGCATAACTGATATCTAAATAAATATGAGGACTTTCGGAGAACATATGATTTTTTGAATAACTTTATCTCTATGATATATTTATATATTATGATTTACATGTACATGATGATCCGGAGTATCAAATGGTAAAAGAGTTTTTCGGAGCCAATGGTAAAGAGGTTCTACGAAGCCAATGGCTAAGGGGTTCTTCGGAGCCAAATGTCAAAGGAATAGCCAAAAACTTGACTATGTACCTGATCAGTACAAAATTATGGTACTTTCGAGACGAGTGTTTTATATATTATGATTAAGTATTTTATACATTAATTAAAGACTATAAAAAAGGAAAGTTTATGAAAAAGAATGAAAATTGTTTAAGAAAAAATGTTCAAGAAAACTGATTATGAAAAATGTTCTACATCATGTATCTATCAAATATCTAATATGGTCTTTTATTTGTTTTAATTTCATGCTTAATGGCATGTTTTTAATTATTTCATGAATTTATGATAAATATCTATTACCTGCTGAGCGTTTGCTCATCCGTATTTTGGGAATATTTTTTAAGAAAACTTGCTAGAGAGTGATGGAAGAACGACAGTTTACATTCCGTCGTAGAGGACATCAGGATGTCAGATTTTTATGATTGTGTTATGTAATGTGTCAGTTTGATGTATTGTGGACTTTTGTGATATTTTTAGTTTATGTTTTGAGTGATAGTTTGTTTTGATGAATTTGGAATATTTCAATTTGGATGTTTAGTAGCTCTTTCTTTCATTGAATCATGAGCAGAATGTCATTGATGACATTAGGAATGAATAAAGGATAGAGCTACTAACGATGCACCCTAAGTCTACTACCACTGAGGGCAATGTAGGTGAAGCTGGGAGGACTCTACCTACAGTAGCAGATCCTCCAGTAGGTGGTAGGAACATCACAATAGAGTTATTTGCTCAGATGATGACAACAATGACTTGGATGATCAAGAACTCCCAGACTCAGGATAGTGACAGTGGGAATACTTCTATGGATAAAAATTTAATATTGTTTCAAGATATAAAGTTTTCGTTGTTTTCAAGTGGTAGGCCCATAGAAGTTGAGGATTGTTTGATGAGAGTAGAAAAGATTGTGGAGGGTTTGTCTTGCCCTGAGGATAGGAAGGTTACGCTCGCTGCTTATGCCTTTGATGGTCAGGCAGAAAGGTTGTGGTGGAGTCGGTTATAAGAGACTTTTGGAGGGCGAGCTACTAGTCAAGTCTTCTAGGAAGATTTTATGAAGGTATTCAGAGATTGATTTGTGCTCATGTTAGCTAGGATACAAATACAAGACAAGTTTAACAGACTGATTCAGGGGGATCTTTCTATTTCACAATATGAGGCAAAATTCACTATGCTGTTTAGATATGTCCCTCACCTGATACCTAATGCTTAAGAAAAGTATCACCGCTTCTTGTCTGGACTAAAGGATATAATAAGGCAGCCTCTCATACCTTTTGGAATTAAAGACTATTCCACTTTGGTGGAAAGAGCCAGAAGGATCGAGATGGATTTACAGACTACTCAGAGGAGGGACTTTCAGAAAAGAAATATTGAAGGCAGGCCAAAGCACATTCAGTCTGCTCAGTCTTCTCAGTCTGGAGTGTCTACTTGGAAGAAGACCAAACCCAACAATTATGACAGCAGTGCTTCAGTTGCTACAGTGTGTAGCAAGTGTGGAAGGATGCATATAGGAGAGTGCATCTCTGACACTAATACTAGTTACTGGTGCCATCAACCAGGACAAATGTCAAAGTTTTGCCCTTTTTTGGGACAAAAATTA